GCTCTGTGTCATGCTCAGCTCTCATTAGAGAGAACGAGGAGACCTGCTTTGGCCGTGCAGCCTTTAGAGGCTGCTGTCCTTGTGAATGCAGCGCGCAGAGCTGATTCTGGGGAAGGCTCTTGGCCACTGCTCAGGTTCTGTCGCTCTTCTTTGCCCCTGATGAGTCATCTCACGTTTCGAAAGCACATCTGTTTTAAACAACAGCAAATTGCAGTATTATTTTGCGCCAAGCACCATGTTAATTAGACTACATAAATTATCACCTTTATCATTACAGTATCTCTACCAGTTGGAGGTACAGCCATCCTTTCCTTTTGTAGACAAGAAGCTCCAGGCACAGAGAGGATAAGGAATTTATCCCAGCTCTCAGGGCCTGTAAGTGGAGTCTGGGGTCTGAAGCCAAGTATTCAGACTGTTCTATACTCTTTCTCTAGTTACAGTCTTTGTATATATGATTTCCTATAAAAGATCATCTGCTTTGTGGACTAATGGCCAGTTTGGGGCTGTTAAAATGTAACTCCTCAGAATATTCCTGTACGAGTCTTTCTTTGCATCAGTGACTTGCCTTTTCATATCATAACAGAGTCTTAAAGAACCAAAGTTTTAAAAATTTTGCCTACATCCGATTTATTGATCTCTCCTAAAATTTCTTTTTCTGTCCTACTGTAAAAGGTTTTGCCAAACTCAATGATACTAAGATTTTCTCCTTTGTTTTCTTTTGGAAGTTTTATAGTTTTAGTTTGCATTTAGGTCTATGGCCCATTTTGAGTTAACTTTTGTATTCGGTGTAAGGTCAAGGTTTGTGTGTCTAAATATGGACATCGATCACCACTTACTGTGAAGGTTATTCTTTTCCCCATTGTTTGAAATAAATTGATTGCATACGTGTGGGTCTGTTTCTGAACCATTTATTCTGTTCCACTGATCTATCTGGACATCCCCATGCCTATGCCACACTCTCTTGATTACTCTTGCTTTATTATAAGTTTTGAAATCTGGTGTAGTTAAATCTCATATATTTGTTCTTTTTCAAAGTCACTTGGCTGTTTTAGGTCCTTTGCATTTCCCATATAAATTCTAAAATCAGCTTGTCAGTTTCTGCATAAAAGCTTGCTGGGTTTTTTTATTTGGATTGCATTGAATCTATAGATAAATCTGGGAAGAATTGCTATCGTAACAATATTGAATCTTTGGACCCCAAAACACAGTCTTTATTTAGGTCTTCTTTAATGTCTCTCAGCAGCATTTTGTGGTTTTTAACTGTACAGGTTTACACATCTTTTGCCAAAGGTATCCACATTTGCCGAAATAAATTCTTTTTTTTTTTTTTAAATACATTAGGGAGTTTTTTTAACAGGCCATAATTACAATAACCACAAAATAAGTTACTAAAAATAAAAAACGAAAATGTTAACTTTAACATGCTCTACTAGAAATATAATATTCATTTTATGTATTCATTATAAAGTACTCTTAGTTCAATTATAAAATTTAAGTTTTGGGTTTTTTCTTTTAAATAGAAAATACAAGTACGGGCTTCTAATTTGTTGTATTTGGATAGACTGATTTACACAAATCCTAATGTGATGGGCTACCAAATACTTGGCACCTCTAAGCAGTAAAAGTTACATCAAAAAGACATAGTAATGTTCTTACCAGTATTAATAGAAACTTACATATAAAAAACTACTATTTGAAACTTTTAAGTCATAAAACACCAGGCCAAGAGTTTTTCTCAACCTCTTCTTTCCTAAGCATAACTACGTCTCCTCAATGGGGGTAGTTTCGTGACAATGCCAAAATTTCACAGGAAGGTGGGCACATGGGCCTTTCCCCTCCTCATTAGAAGTTAATTTGTTAGGACTTATGGTGGCCACATGATGTTTTCAAATACTAGCAGGAAACAAATGAGTCGACTTAGGAACACAAAAAGTAAACTGTGATATAAAGAATAAGGAAAGGGATGAAACATTTCAATAAGCTCAGATATGACATGATGATATTATCACAGGCCTGAGTATCTTCTTTATCTCCTAAATAAGTTGAGCCCCCAACAGGAAAAAGGTCACCTCACAGAGAACGCTATGAGATTTTTAAGTCGCTAGAGTCCTTTCCATCTTCTCTTTCTCATCAGCTCTTGATACTGCTGTCAAATTCTACAAACTATCATATGCACTGATTTTACCCATACTTTCTCTGCAGATATCTCTGTGGCCCATGCACTATTTTAAGATGGCTGGCTGGTGTGAATCTACACAGTATATTCATCCATCTTCACTTAACACATTAGTGTGCCCCAAGTTCATCCAAGATGTTAAAAGAAGGGAAGACAATCTACTAGGATTAGCCATAACTGTCCATAGTTGCAATTTCAAAACATAGAAGATGCAAATGTGGGAAAACCTCCTTTAGTATCAAGCATAGCTTCAGGCATCAGGGTGTTGAAAGCAGGAGGAAGTAGGTCCACGAGGTGTCTTGCTTTTGTGCACTTATCTGGGGTGCTGTTTCCAGAGAAGGAGCTCCTTTATAGAGTGTGCCCAAGATGGATTTCTCTAAGTTGCTCTGAGTTGTCCAGCTGCCCTCGCCAATAAGTCAGTCTTTGTAGGTTGATAGAAACCACCAGTCAAAGGAGATGCAAATGGACTGTGGGGAAGCCTTCTTTAGTATCTAACATAGGTGTAGTGCTGCACTTTCTCGGGCTGTGCCTGCAGCACCTGAGCGGTAGCGGCCAGGGGCACCGAGGAAGCTGCGGAGCCGGGGCCCTTCGACATGGTCCTGTCTTCCTGCCTCTTCGCCGCTCCCCTTTTATTATTCTTGCTGAAATAAATTCTTAATTTCATGTTTTTTGATGCTACTGTAGATGGCATTATTTTTTAATTTATGATTGTTGTATCTAAACATTCAGTATATTGATTTTTTGTTCTGTAACCCTACTAGACTTATTATTTAGCAACATTAAAAAAATAGTAATGTTTCTTAGGTTTCTTACATGGACAGTTATGTCATTTGTGTTATAAATACAGTTTTACTTCTTTCTTTTAATCTGGATGCCTTTTGTTTCTCTGTCTTGCCTAAGTGCCCTGGCTAGAACCTCTAGTACAGCCCGGACTAGCACTGGTGAGAGGGGGCGTCCTTGCCTTGTTACCCATCTGTTGGTGAAAGCACTCATTCTTTTACCATTATTTAGGTCTTAGGCCCATCATCCACTCCACTTACCCTCTTGTTATTCTCCTTCATAACATCTTGCTCTTTTTCTTCACAGTCATAGAAGTGTAATTATATTTGTAAAATTTGTTTAATGTACTTTTTTCTCACTTGTCTCTAAAGACCATATTTATTTCATTATCCTACATAGCGCCTGGCACATAATAGGTATATAAGAAATACTTCTTGAATGAGCCCTGAAAGAATTGTTCATTCTTGCTTTCTTGTCGACCATCAGTGTTCTTTCTAATGAAATGTGTAAGAGATGGGAAAATACCACCACATGAATTACTAATAACCATTCAAATTATGAATCATTTTATTTTTGAATACTTGAACTAAAAGCTAAAAATCATCAGTGATTGGTTTCATGGCTTTGAATACAAAGTTTACTGATGTTAAAGATTTTATTTTTTTTTAATATTTTTTTTAAGGAATCTCTACACTCAGTGTGGGGCTGGAACCTATGACCCCACAGTGGGGAGTCGTGTGCTCTACCGAGTGAGCCAGCTAGTTGCCCCATAAGCTGATTTAAAATATGTTCTCATGATACAGAATTTGTGGGTTTGGGAACTAATTTTAATTTTTTTTCTTAGTTTTACCCATTTTTCTACATTTTCATGGCAGCTGTGGTTAATCTTTCGTTAGGATATATAGAAATCTAGTAATTTCTAAGTTAGGCAAAGATAGTGGGTTCTAAAGACAATTTATATGGATGAATAAAAGTATATATATTTTCAGGGAAGCTGAAAATGCAGAATTGTAGAGCAACCAGTAATACAAGTTTTTCAGGTGAAAGTTTGGAAGAGATTAATCCTGAGTTTACTAATGAAAAAATGTGAACTTTCACATCGGTTTATTATGTAGGAGTTTTATAATCACAGATCACGCGGATAAGGGTATGATTCTGTACCAGATGCGCAGACAGCATCACCTGGGATCAGATGAGGTTGGATACAATGAACATCACTTTCTTTCCTGCTGTCGTCCTATTTCTACGTTCCCTGTATTGTTTGTATTTGGAAAGACTTGCTACGAATGCCTTAGTTGTGTGTTCTGGCCCTCAAGTAACCATGTTGGTGTAGTTTGGGTAACTTACCGCTAAAGTTAGGAGTTTCTCATTGTATACTTTCACTGTTTCTGTCTTTATTTTCCCAAACAGATAAAAATAAAAGCTTAGACTAATTGATTACTTAGTAAACATCCAGCTTTCTCCTTTATAAGTGCATTATTTCAATTTGTGAAGCTGCTTATAGATTGAATTATTTAAATGCATTAAGGGAGCTGTGTAAAATAAGAATGCTACGGGAATCTTTTGAAATGTGAATACTTAGTACATTTTATATTGTGGAAATTTAGATATTGCTTCAGATGAGATATGCTTTTATTATTGATACTTAGGGACACTGATGTCTAAAATCTGCACCATTTAAAAATGTCATTTTTCAGAATCTTAGGGGAAAAGAGCTCTTTAATTGAGGCTTTAAACGAGTGAGAATTTTATGAGCAAATTTTTAATTAATGAATATTAGTGTATAATTAGAAACGTTGTTAGTCTTCATGATTGACCTACCAGTGAATGTATGACTGCGTTTTGAATATAATTCATGTTAAGATTTAATTGCATTTTTGCATTTTGGTTGCTCTGCTTGAAATGAAGGTCACATGTAAAATGAATATACATTTTTCCCACCATAGAAAATACTCTCTTAGCATTAATAGGGTTGGCACTGGTAAGTTCACAAGAACAACAAAAAAAGCTCACACAAAACAAACTGAATTTCTCTGTTTCACAGATGTATCTTGTGATTTTTCCAGAGGGAACAAGGTATAATCCAGAACTAACGAAAGTCATTTCAGCTAGTCAAACATTTGCTGCTCAAGAAGGTAAGTAAAAATTTGACTGTACTTGAAAAAATAATTTTTAAAAATAAATACCTTTTCAGTTTTTGTTCCTGGAGGGGATATTTATGTTTTACAATAAAGGAAATGAGTAAATGTATTCATTTCTTCAGGGAATGCATGTATTATCTCTTAGGAAATGAAGTTTCTTCATTAGTTCATATGCATGTTATTATATATATCTGAGAGCTTAAATTCAAGTGCTTGCTAAAATACATATTCCAGTGCCATGGATTTAGTGAAAATCTGGCTAGGTACCGGATTGTGGAGGCTTTTTCTCCATTATGGGCTGTGTGTGACGGAAAGAGTCTCCGTTCTGTGGGCTGACAGACCTGGACTGGAATCCAAACTCTGATGTCTGTCAGCTGTGTGGGTGCAAGTTGCCTCACAGGCTCAGCTTGTCTCCTCATCTTTTTTTTAAAGATTTTATTTATTTATTTGAGAGAGAGAGAGCGAGAGATAGAGAGCACGAGAGGGAAGAGGGTCAGAGGGAGAAGCGATGTGGGACTCGATCCCGGGACTCCAGGATCATGACCTGAGCCGAAGGCACTCGCTTAACCAACTGAGCCACCCAGGCGCCCTGTCTCCTCATCTCTTAAGACATTTGTACCTCATAGGCATACCTATGCCTGCCTCTGTGTAAGAATTACATTAGAAGTATGTGAAGTCTCGTGGAATGTGACACAAAGTTGGTTCACAGTACTTGGAAGTTATGAATGTCCCCAACAACAGGAATGTTCTTAATGTCCATATTTTAGAAAGTTGGATAACTAATACACTTATAAGCTATTCAGTTTCACCAATTTGGGATATAAACAGAAAACAGTGGCTATGCTGTGTTGAAGACGGACTATGAATTAGTATACGATCTCCATACATTGATCTCCAGGCACTTACTGAGCAGATGTGTTATGGTTGATCTGACTGCAGGGGCTACGCAGTGCCGTCTAGGAAAACTTGTTATAGCAGTAGTAGTGTCTGTATCTGCTCTGACCAACATGGTAGCTCCTACCCACATGTGATAGTGCATCAAGGGAAATGAATTTTTAATTTTGTTAATTTTAATTAATTCATTGGGATCTGATACAAAATTCTTGATACTTCCCTTATTGGAATTCTTTCCCTAGACTTCTTTAGGGCTTCTCTCCATTTCCCCCTCCCTCTCTGGTGATTCCCGGTCAGTCCCCTTTCTAGCCTCCTCCTTCTGCTTCATTCTCTCCTGTTTCATTCTCTCCTGTTTCATATGTTGTTTCTGTTGTCTGACTTTGCTCTTTCCTTCATTTCATCTTCATATTTTTCCTTGTGGCCTTCATCCAGATCCATAGCTTTAGCCACCATTTATTTGACTGCTGATGGCTCAACAAAAAGCTTTCTTCCACCCATATCTGTTTGACTCTAGACCTGTAGGTATAGCTGCCCGGGAGAGAGCTTCACTTGATTGGCCCAAGGGCCAGTAATACTCAACATCACTCCTCATCAGGGAAATACAAATCAAAACCACAATGAAATACCACCTCACACCTGTCAGAATGGCTAAAATCAATACCACAAGAAACAACAGGTGTTGGTGAGGATGTGGAGAAAGAGGAACACTCATGCTCTGTTGGTAGGAATGCAGACTGGTGCAGCCACTCTGGAAAACAGTATGGAGGTTCCTCAAAAAGTTAAAAATAGAACTACCCCATGATCCAGCAGTTGCACTACTGGGTATTTGCCCAAAGAATACAAAAACACTAATTCAAAAGGATACATGCACCCTAGTGTTTATAACAGCATTATCAACAATTGCCAAATTATGGAAGCAGCCCAAGTGTCCATTGATAGATGAATGGATAAAGATGTGGTCTCTATATATAATGGAATATTACTCAGCCACAAAAAGAATGAAATTTTGCCATTTGCAAGATGTGAATGGAGCTAGAGAGTATAATGCCAAGTGAAGTAAGTCAAGAGAAAGATACCATATCATCTCACTCATATGTGGAATTTAAGAAACAATACAAATGAGCAAAGGAAAGAGAGGCAAACCAAAAAACAGACTACTAACTATAGAGAACACACTGATGGTTACCAGAGGGGGGGTGGGTGGGGGATGAGTGAAATAGCTGATGGGGATTCAGAAGTGCATCATGATGAGCACTGGGTGATGTATGGAAGTGTTGAATCACTATATTGTACACCTGAAACTAATATTACACTGGATGTTAACTGCAATTAAAATAAAAACTTTTTCTTAAAGGATTTTATTTATTAGAGAGAGAAGGGGAGAGAGTGCATGAGCAAGGGGAGCGGCAGGCAGAGGGAGAAGCAGGCTCCCCGCTGAGCAGAGAGCCCGATGCGGGCTCGGTCCCAGGACCCCCAGATCATGACCTGAGCCAAAGGCAGATGCTTAACCAACTGAACCACCCAGGCGCCCTTAAAATAAAAACTTAAAATGAACTATCTCAAGGGAAAGCAAAAAATTAAAAATTAAAAAAAAAGTATATTCTACAACAGAAACCATAAAATGGCTTTTTTAAAAAACTGTCATCTCCAAAAGTATTTAGAGAACATTGCATTTTATATCCTTCCCTTGGGGAGGTACAGTTCACATTATGTATTAGTTTCAGAAATGTTCTGTTGTAAAGATCTCTGATTTTGTTTATTGAGCTGTTTTCTAATTTTGTATATTTTAGAAAACAGTGATCTAAAATTATTAAATAAAATTTGGGGGTTTTTGTGGGGTAAATCCTTAGGGTTCCAGAAAATTATGTCTCTCCAAGATTATTCCTCTCTAAAGATTCTAGGTAGCTGAGCTCTGACTTTAACAAAATGTGTGTTTTACTCTGAAGCTTAAAATAGTCTATAGATGAATCAGTTTTGGGATTTTCTTGTGTGTGGAGGGGAATTCTTGATAAACTTGAGTGTAGACCTTAAACTATATAAATTTTCATCTACTCTTGTGTGTCAGCTGTTATAGCCACTTTAATTCTGTTTAGGAATTACAGTTTGAGATTAGATAAGGTGAAAGGGAAATAAACGTGGGGAATTTTTTTTTTGCTACTTTTCATGTGTATTGTAGAATCTGAGACATTTTATTATCATTAAATAATCAATTATATCTTGAGACATGTGTGCTTTTTATGGGTTGAACAGAGAGCTGGCCTTGTGAGAAGTTTACTAGAGTGCCTCAGATCCTCAGAGTCTGCTGATTTTATGTTAAAATAGTACAGTATTCTACCCTTAAATATTAACAAATCTTTATCAGATTTCTAATATTTCTAAAATGTTTCACTAAGGTGGAAGAACTAATTCTTAATGTTTTATAGGAGTTTATAATTCAATAGGAGAAATGAAACAGGATTGTATTCATCATCTATCAATGTGTAACAAATTATCCCAAACCCTAGTGGCTTAAAACAAACAGTTCCTGTCTCACTGTTGATGTGGGCCAGGAGTCCTGGTGTGGTTTAGCTGGGGGCTGCTTGCTTAGGGACTGTCACAGGATGCAATCAGGGTGTCTGCTGGGGCTGTAGTCATTTCAGGGCTCTCCAGGAGGATCTGTTAGAAGCTCCCTCACAGGGCTGTTGACAGGCTCAGGTCCTCACTCGCTGTTGGCTGGAGAGTCTATTTCTTGCCACTTGGGCCTCTCCGTAGAGCTCCTCAAGACACAACAGCTTGCTCCCCTAGATCTGCAGAGCAGAGAGGGGGTGGGGAGACAACATGGAAGAGGTGCTGTAACATAGAGGAGGGCTGGGCAAGACAGAAGTCACAGTCTTCTTGTAACCTAATTTTGGAAGTGACATCTTATCATTTTTGGTTAATAGTAGAGAGGTCCTGAGCAAGACTCAGCAAGAGGGTCCAAATGATTGAGGTATAGATTCTGCTTCACAGTAGTGATCCGATTTCCAGAAACTTCAGTATGCTATTTTTCAACAAGTTTGCCTCTTTCAATTCTGTTATAATGTGTGATGCACTAATTCCTTAATTTTAAATATGTTAAGCAAGACAAAATTAGACCTGGACATTTTATTATATCTTGTCACTGGGCAAATCACAAGTTAGTTGTTGAGGTATAATAAATTTGCATTACGGAATGAGTATAGTCCCAGATTTTTGTCTTTATGTGAAGAGTAACGTAGAATTACTCTGTGTTTTAGTATTTATTCAAGGACTTCTGATTTCTTTTGTAAAATTTACCTTTGTGTGTGTGTTCCTATTTAAATATTGCCATACTTTTGGCTCAGTCGGTTGAGTGTCTGACTCTTGGTTTTGGCTCAGGTCACGATCTCATGGGTCATGGGATCAAGCCCCGTATCGGGCTCCATGCTCAGTGCAGTCTGCTGGAGATTCTCTCCTTCTGCCCCTCTCTCCACTCGCTCGCTCGCTCTCTCAAATAAATAAATCTTTAAAAAAATAAATATTGCCATACTTCTTTCAGTTGGGTAAAATAAGCATTTATATGCAAATAGGTGTATTTACTATGTGACATTTATTCAGAGTTGTAATTTCAGTACAGGTTTTTAGGGCCTGTGTTAATCACCTTGGACTGCCATACCAGGACACTGCTCTGGGGGCTTAAACAAGAGACACTGATTTTCTCATAGTTCCGAAGCCTGGATGTCCAAGATCAGGGTGCCAGCAGGGTTGGTTTCTGGTGAGACTGCTCTGACTTGTAGAGGGCCACCTTCTTGCTGTGTCCTCACATGGCCTTTTCTCTGTGTGCTCACAGAGATAGGTCTCTGGTGTCTCTTTCTCTTTTTATAAGGATGCCAGTCCTATTAGATTAGGGCCCAATGCTTACAACCTCACGTAACCTTAACTACCTCCTGAAGACCCCATCTCCAAATACAGTCTAGGGGTTAAAAAATCTCACTGAGATGACTGTTTAATGTATTTCCTAAAAGTTACTTAGTTTTAAAAATCCGCACTAATTTTGTAATGCTAGATCAAGTATTTTTAAGTAATTCTTAAAATGGCATAATAATGATATATAGTCTAGCTTT